TAATTCGTTGTCAAAGAGATTAGCTTACGAAAACTTATTCAGTGCAATTGCAGTATCATTAAAACAAAAAAGGATTTTACTTGAACCGTACGTGACTCATAATGTGAAATGCATTTCTTGCTTAAAATGTTCGAAACTTTTGAACCAAAGCAGAAGACATAAGCAACGACTGAAGGAAGTGATTTGTCCGGAATTTCCTGGACCAACAAATAAAATTTACTGCATATTCTATAGCATCGATAAAAACAAAATAGGTTTGTTGTGGTCATGACAAATTTGTGGTAAAAAGTTTATAGAGATGTGTTTCCAGTAACAATGTACCGAGTGCAGAATTGATTCAGTTGAGAATAAAAGACATTTGTGGTAGCATAATAAGTTGGACAAGTAATGATTAAAAAATTTAAACAATTTGAACTTAGGTCACCAAAAAAAAAAACCTTTTATTGAACAGACCTATTTAGATTACATTAAACTAAATGCCTGTTTTTTTTTTTTCTGTTAAAAAAATACAAACAGAATAATTCAGAAAAAAATGAATAACAGACTACTAAACCATAATTATTTAAAAAAAAGACTGAAAAAAATTTGAAAACTTCTTTTTTTTCACAAATGAACCAAGGTGGCCGCCGTATTGTCGATCAGGTGCTGCAAACTTGATTGGTCATTATTTGAATAAGTATCAGTGTACTTTGTATGAGCCAGTTCATGGTACATCAAAGATTTGGTTGTGAAAAAGTGGTAACTTCAAAATCGAAAATGACGTTTTATCACCACAACAGTTTATTTAAACCACCAAGTCATCAAACTTTGTTTTTTTCTCCGTCTTTACTGAAATTGGTAAAAATAACTTTTTTTGATGTGTTGGAAAAAATTGTGAGTAGTTTGTTTAAAAAAATTTAATAAACTTTTGATTTTTGATTTGCTGTAAAGTTCTATTACTGCTGCTGTCAGTAAACAGTTACTTAATTCGAGTAAAAATAGATTTTTTACAGTTTATTATGTTTATACACTGTCAAGTACGGCTTCAGTACAATAATGTGTTATTAAAATTCAAATTCTTTTCTGTTTTTTTTTTCTCATAATGCCTTTTTACTATTATTTAGCTAACAGCTGTTTGATGTAAGTCTGTTAAAATATCACTGAATAAGCCACTGGTAATTATAATTTCTAAACTTTTTTACGACTGAAATTTATTGCTTTACAAAATAGTAGTCTGACCATAGAATTGATCAGCTTGAGCGGTAAAAAAACAAAAAAAAACATTGGCTTTTAGCATTTATACCACAGTCGTCGAGGAAGGATGATAACTTTTGACTTGATTTTTTTTTTTAGCACCCGACTTTTTTCCTGTCTTAAAAATTCTATAATGACGCTTTCTGGTTCATTCTTGTATACCATTCTTAAATTATTGAAGAAGATAAAGAAAATAAGAGAATTATGGAGACACTCTGATGTTTCGATCGTGTTTTTTCATTTGAAAGTTTAGAACAACATTTTGATTTTCTAATAGACTTTGTATTTTGAACAATTGTATTACAACTTGACCGCAAATTCAGTCTATAGCATATGGTCTTTTCTACCCTAGTGCAAATAACAGTTCTAAATAAACCAACTATTAGCACTTAAGCTACAACTCCTAAACTTTATGCAGACTTTATAATGAACTTTTTTTATTCTTTAATACACAGTTTCTCAGTCTTAGTCTACCGCAGTAGCAGAAAGGTGATTAGTACTGTTATGGTTTTATGTTGCTAACAACACTGTTTAGTGCTCGTAGAAAAGAAAAAAAAAAACGAATAGCTACTTTTCAAAGGTTTAGCCAAGCAACTATTCTTTGATCGTCTAGAAAACTATTGCTTTTTATCTTTACTGTTAAGAATCAATGTGTCTTGTACTTTTTTTTTTCAGACTTTTTGTTGAATATATTCTGCTTTTGTTTGAAGATCTGAATTTTGTAATTTTTGAATAATGTTAAATACAGTTAGCAGCAGCTTATTTTTACCTGTACTATTAAAGACTTTGTTTTCGACGACTCTAATGTTTGTTAGCAATTTAAGAAAATAGTTTAACCAAGATTAATCATTTTTTTTTAATGGTAAAACTATGCTAACGATATTAATTAGAAAACAGTAGAAAAAAGTTGGCAAATCTTATTGCTTGTTACTTTATTTTAAAAATGTTAGAATTAGACTGACGTATTAGACTGCAGTAATTCAGTTTTTTGAATTCTTTTGCTGTTATGTAACTAACATTGTATATACAGTTATCTTTGTACATTTTAAAATATGTTTTTTAAAATATTAATTGATGTAAAAACTTTTTCAATTTTTTTTTCGACAACTCTGTCTCAAGTAAGCACTGTTGAATGAGTTTAAATAATTTGTAAAAAAATGGTCTAAAAAAAAGAAAAAAAATGAAAACATCAACAGCTTACTAAATAGAAAATTAAATATTTTTTTTTGCTGTCTCATACGTCTTCTGACTTTTTTCTTGTTGTTTTTGCTGAT